AACACCTGTTATTCTTTTGACATTCCGGCCGCCTAAACAAAGCCACTTAAGATGAGGCAAACGTTCAACAATTGATGGATGGACTTCTTCCAATAATGTGTTTCCAACATTGAGATACTTGATGTTCATAGAAACCCTTGGAGCACTCTTACATCGTGACAGAATATTATTTTTAATTTTCTCGAAAGAGTCTACAAGTAGCTTTCTGCAGTCATGCATCCTCAGCTTTCTCAGTTTCTGTAGATTCCAAACAGAGGAAGGAAGCTCCACCAAACTTGTGCAAGATGTTAGTGTCAATGTCTCTAGATTAATGGCCTTTGAAAGATTTGGGATTTCTTTCAAGTATTTCGAATATCCCAAATTCATCTTTTTGAGATTTGGAAGGGTCTGCATATCAAACACAACAAATGTTAAATACCTTATTTAGACCGAACCATCTATAAACATAAATAAAATAAAATAAACCTGGATTCCTCCCCAAAGCTTCTCCAGATTGCTGAATTGCATACGAAGCTGGATGAGACATTCAGGTTGAAATTTTAGAGGAAGACATTTTCTCGGGTATGAATCCCAATGTAGTAACCTTAGACAAGGTAGATACTCCATATTTTCCGATATCTTCAATGCATTAAAAAATCTCCCATAGATTCTTAAGAATCGGAGACTACGCATTCCTTCGAAACCTTTTCCACTTATAGAGCACTCACTCATCTTGGAGGACGATGTATCAAATGATATACCTAAGACAGATCCTGTACCCTAGTAACATATATTTCAAGAAAGAAAGATTGATGAACCTGTTGTTATCACAAAACCAAAAAAAAAATATTTCTTTAGAAGATTTTGTTATATACTCCCTCTGTTTCAAAATAAGTGTCACTCTAAGCTCGTGCACACGGATTAAGGAAACAATTAATTTTGCATATTTTCTATATAAAAACACAATTACCCATACACCTAACCATATTTCAACCAATAGAAAAATAAATTACATAATAAAGTTAATAAATTTTGCCTTGAAAACCGAAAACGACACTTATTTTGTGAC